AAACACCCACACACTGACATGAGTGCTCCTACCACTTTGATCATGGGTGGAAGGGTAGTGGGTGTGCCCTGGAGTAAAAGTGGTCCTAAATCAGGGTTGTACTATCCTCGAACATGGGGATTATCCCTTTAACTCTTCCGCCCTTTCCTCAGACCGTGTAATATCTGGGTGAACATTAGGCAGGAAACCTGTATTTGCCAGCAAGGGTGGGTGATAATCCCCAGAAACATCATCAACACCTTGATGAGTGTTAAAAGACAGAGAGATTCCAATTAGATCCCACAACATCAAAAACAGCTGATGGCTTTGCCTGCTCACTAGTATACACTCAGTGGCTTTTGGGTATTGTTAGGGCAACAACTGAACAAGATGCAAGTTTCACCAGCAAATTCCCTGAATGATTTGTTGGACAACAGTTGAGTCATTTACCACTTCCTACAAGCCAGGGATGAAACAATGGGTGCTAACGCAGGTGTTGGTTGCATCTAGAACAACACAAGCATCTCTGTGGCAGCCTTTTGTACTTGTTGATCCAATCTTGAGTTGCACCATGGGATCCTTGATTACCTGGTCACCACATTTTGCCCTTCGACAGATGCAGCTGTCTGCCAGGCCAAACCATTCAATGGACACCTGCCCATGAACTGTTTTCAAGGGGGCCACGTGAGTGAGTAAAAGAGGAACAAAATCACGGACATTAATGCAGCTGGATTAAAAGTTCCTCCTATCACACCAAGGGTGATTAGGTCTGGTGATATGTCTGTGGCTTCAGTCTCAACATGCCACAAAGGAACTGTGGGATCCCACCAAGAATTTCTGCAAACACATGGTCAGCAGCCCTCACAAGATCAATTGTGATCCCAAGACCAACATAATTCATGATGTCCCTGAAGACAACAAGAAGAGTTGAGTCTATGGCACGTAGGTTGTGTTTTCCCATAACACACACACATGAGGCCTACAGCTTCACCACTGTACTTGTTGGGTGCCACTAAAGTTGCACCTCGAGGCCCTTAGTCCCCTGTATTCTTCACTTTGAGTCAGTTGTCTTAGTTGTCAGCTAAGTCAAACCACCACAAAAATATTTTCCCATGGGTTGTTGTCAAGCAGGTTGTGGATTCCCACAGCATACATACACAAGCCTACAGCTATAAACCCATGCCCAGCATAGTGTATGTCTGGACTAATGCTGAAGTACTCTGAATGTTTGACAGCAGACAGTACTTCACCCAGATGATGGCTATGAATGGTCACTTACCTGCTGAAGTAAAATTTAGGGAGAACACTGCTAAAAGCTCAGTATTCAAAGTTTCAACATGCTTGCTGTTTCTTTTGATCATCAGGTTAATTCAGCAGGGCTGAAATTTTACTTAATTAATTTACAGATGGACTTCCAAAAACTTCACTGCTGCAGTTTTTCTTTTTGCCAATCACGGGAATGGAAATTTTGTGTAGCAATGCAGTTCATAAGAATTTCAAAAGTTTCATGACTTATGATTATTGAATATTCTGGCTTTCACTGTAAAAAGTACCAAATCATTTATGCAAGTGTTCATAGTTATTTGTGTGCATGCAAACACCCATGCAAGAGTGAATTTGTATGAAATGTCCACATACTAGTCATGTTGAAGGTGATCAGTTTTTCAGTTATTTTCAACATGCATAAGCTTCAGACATGGTTGCCAGAGCCATAGTTTTGAAATTCCCAGACTGACAGTCGAATGTACACTTTCCCTGACCAAATGAATTGACAATTTGCCCTGATAATGGCTTCCAAACTTTCACCACAGCCATCCTCTCCACCTATTTATTACATGAATTTATCCTGAATGTAAAGCGCAGAATGGATTGATCTTCTCTTTTAATTTCTTGAAACAATATTCTACCAATGGAACATGTTTAACTTCTACATACATACATACATACATACATACTTTATTGGCTCGTCCCTTCGGGGCTTTTCAGAGTCAATTTTTTTTTTCAATTTTCAATTTTTTTTCTGTGAATATGTCACCTTTCTCTCATTTCTTTGAAAGAGTTAAATTTTCCTGACTTGTTTATTTGTCCCTTACAGGGAAAAGAATTAATTTCCTTGGCATAGCAACCATGTCACACATTAATATTCAGCGGAGATCCGAAATGCTGATGTTATTTGTGAATAATAGGATTGAAACAGAAGGCCAGCACAGGGCTCAAAGTCAGCAACTAACCGGTCACATATGCGACTGGATTTTTGGTTGTGCGCGTAAAAATTCATGTGTAATCGCACCTGTGCGCTGTAAACCCCAAAGCACAGTGTGACTGACTTACTTCCGACTATACTTACGAACTTGAACTAGAAAGACGGTGTATGTTTAATTGGTCTTTTCTCCCAATGGATTCTACGAACTTGAATGTTCTTTTTCGTTTCGATGTTTTACTCCATCCTAGACTCTTCTGTTTTGTAATAAACACCGCTGACACATGCAAATATATGCTACAAACAAAACACGTACTTTTTGTGCAATGGACAGTCATGTCGAACGTTCAGTTTTAACGTCAATCAAAACAAAAACAGTGCAGATTAAGAGCCTTTTTTTCCAGGTAAGAAAGTTTTTTAAGTCATATTCCAGTTACATGTAAGTCATTGTGCATTAAACAAATTCATTAAAGATTAATTTTCTTTCTCGTTCGACACACTCATTGTTGTCAGTTTTGAATTGTTTTTCAAGTGTAAGTTTTCTTTAGTCACAACTGTACTGTCAAAAAGAGAAATTAGTATCAAAAATCACAACGGTATTACTGCATAGCAAATCGGGTGTGTTTTATCAATCACAGGACTGAAGTAAAAGTAACAAACTGAAGATGACACGTAAACGTTGCACTGTTAAACTTTTTAATTTTTCTTTTGAAATAGATGCTTCCAACATTATAAGCTGTGCTCCTAAAATTTCGGCAGTGCACCTAAAAATTTACATCTGGTAGCACAAGTGCTCCCAAACTCAAATTTAAACTTTGAGCCCTGCCAGCATAATAAATTTTTGTTATATTTGACGTATATATAAGGCTGCTACATACAAGTAGACTGATGGAACCAGATTAAATCTTGAACATATATTGCTACTCAGTTTCATGTCTCTTGTCAGGCAATCATCAGGCAACTGCCGAAGGTAATGGTTACTATCAAAGATATAGGGAAAACAGAACAATAAATACTATGAAAATTGTAAACAAAAATTTGGTCCAGTAATGTTTCCCTACATGACAGTCACTCATTAGAGTAAACTGTTCATTGTAAAATAAAGCTTACTGTAAAAAACCCATTGTTGCTCATGGTGTAAAGGCTTATCAGCTGTCCTCAGTCTGTTTGAAAGATATTCCTCACGTGCATTTTACAGATGGTGTAATTCTTGCTGCCTATCGTTGCCTCGAAAAAGATAACTTTCACTGTAAACTTCAAGCTTACCTCTCCTCACAGCTTTTGTTGCCATTTGTATTGGCGGCATTTTCTCTAAGCATCTGCTGTCGGTGTTCCTTCTCTTGATCTGTTTTGTTTGCAGGGTAATTGTAGTATTTGAATGAACCATCATGAGGAAAGTACAGACAAGGGAAATGTGTGAAGGCAAATTTGTTTGATTTTAAACACAAAGAAAAAAAAGTGCTGCTGTGAACCTTGTGGAAGTCCATTTGTGAATTGATTAAGTAAGATTTTCACCCTGCTGAATTAAGCATATGATGAAAGGAAATAGCAAGCATGTTGGAACTTGAAATGACTTAGATTAAGGAAGTTAGCTGAGCGCTGGTAACAACACAGCATCTGGGTGATGTATTGTATGCTGTCAAACATTCAGAGTAGTTCAGCGTTAGTCCAGACATCTGGGTGATGTATTGTATGCTGTCAAACATTCAGAGTAGTTCAGCGTTAGTCCAGACATCTACTATGCTGGGCATGGGTTTATAGCTGTAGACTGTATGTATGCTGTGGGAATCCACAACCTGCTTTTCATAGACTCAACTCTATATATTTTATTTTCTTCAGGGACACTGTGATTCATCTTCATCTTGGGATTGTAATTGATCTTGTGAGGGCTTTTGACCATGCGTTTGCAGGGATTCTTGGCAGGATCACATAGTTCCTTCGTTGGATGTTGAAACTGAAGCCACAGACGTATCAGCAGACGTAATCAGCCTTAATGTGATGGGAGGGAATTTTCATCCCGCTGCAACAAAGTTCGTGATTTTGTTCCTCTTTTACTCATCCATTTAGCCCCCTTGGAAACAGTCCATGGGAAGGTGTTCTTTGCACAGTTTTGCCTGGCAGACAACTGAGTCTGTCAAAGGGAAGAATGTGGTAACCAGGTAATCAAGGATGCCATGGTGCAACTCAAGATTGGACCAACAAGTAGAAAAGGCTGCCACAGAGATACTTGCATTGTTCTAGATGCAGCCAACATCTGCCTTATGAGTTTTAGCAACCATCATTTTGTTCCTGGCTTGTTGGAAGTGGTGAATGACGCGACTGTTGTCCAAGAAATCACTGAAGAACCGTTAGGGGAGTTTGCAGGTAAAACTTGTGTCTTGCTCTATTGTTGCCCTAACTTTACCCCAAAGCCACTGAGCATGTACTAGTGAGCAAGCAAAGCCCTGGGTTGTTATGGATGTTTTGGAATCTCATTGGAATCCCTCTATACTCATCAAGGTATTGTTGTTTTTTCTGGGGAGTGTCAACCACCCTCCATGGTAATTGCAGGTCTCCTGCTTGATTTTCGCCCAGGTTTTACATGTTCTGAGAAAGGGGCGGTAGAGTGGAAGGGAAAGTCCCCATGTTTGTACAAAATGAGGATTATACAACCCTGATTTAGGGCCACTCTTACTCCAGGGCACACTTACTACCCTTTCGACCCATGGTCACAGTGGAAGGAACACCTGTGCCAGCATTTGGGTTTTTCTTCCTCCATGTGCATTTCAGAGTAAGGGGTTGTCAATTCGTCTCTTTAACGAGCATGGAGATCTGGGTATGAGAGAGCAAGAGATGGCAGTGGGTAACATTGTGGACCACTTTGTATTTTCCTTATTTCCTCTTACATCAAATTGTATGTGAATCATTGGATAACCCACAGGAAGGCATGTGTTCTGGTAATCCTAGGGTGAGAGGGAATTCAAATCCTTGTCAAGAATCTTCTTTTCTACCTTGCACACCAACTGAGTAACATTTTGCATCCCTTAAAAAGGCATCTCTAGGGTCCAAGGGCATCACCAACTCCAAACAGTGCATACGCTTTAATGCAGGGATGCCTTTTATGGTAGTACACAAATGTTACTCAGTCAATCTGTGATGTAGAAGAGGAAGAAGAATTTATTCAGTTTATCTTTGATTATTTCACTTCCCTTTACCCCTACATTACAAAAGAACCAGTATCACATGGGTTATGCAGTCATTCATAAACAATTTGATGCAGAAAGCCAGTGTCGTTAGGAGTGCCTTTGGTGTGGCTAATTGTTGCTTTCTTTGACACTTTTCTCTCTTTTGCCCAGTAATCACTTTCCCTTAGAGAGACAAAGCGGGCTGTCATTAAGAGACAGAGACTGGGGATTTCCCCTGGCTACTTTCAAAGGAAAATAGAAGACAATAGATGATTCCCTGCCTACTTTTTGCAATTACCTGGCATCTTAAACGTTAGTGACAATAACGCAAAGTGGTATTTCCCACTATCAAACAAATGGGGTAAGAAATCCGTGACCACGTCACAAACACTGCTACCACTGTGGTCTTTGCTGAAGTGAGGGAAAACCAGTGATCCATAATACCCTTGATGTGGTAAAATGTTACCCCCTGCCACCCCATCTCTCTTACTTGGTGCTTCATGATTGTTACAGAGACAAATTGACTTCCCCTGCTATAAAACGTGCATGGAAGAGGAAACACCCAAACACTGACATAAGTGCTCCTACCACCTTGATCATAGGTGGAAAGGTAGTGGGTGTGCCCTGGAGTAAAAGTAGTCAGAAATCAGGGTTGTACTATCCTCGAACATGGGGATTATCCCTTTAACTCTTCTGCCCTTTCCTCAGACCATGTAATATCTGGGTGAACATTAGGCAGGAAACCTGTATTTGCCAGCAAGGGTGGGTGATAATCCCCAGAAACATCATCAACACCTTGACGAGTGTTAAAAGATAGAGAGATTCCAATTAGATCCCACAACATCAAAAACAGCTGATGGCTTTGCCTGCTCACTAGTGTACACTCAGTGGCTTTTAGGTATTGTTGGGGCAACAACTGAACAAGACGCAAGTTTCACCAGCAATTTCCCTGAATGATTTGTTGGACAACAGTTGAGTCATTTGCCACTTCCTACAAGCCAGGGATGAAACGATGGGTGCTAACGCAGGTGTCGGTTGCATCTAGAACAACACAAGCATCTCTGTGGCAGCCTTTTGTACTTGTTGGTCCAATCTTGAGTAGCACCATGGGATCCTTGACTACCTGGTTACCTCATTTTGCCCTTCGACAGATGCAGCTGTCTGCCAGGCTAAACCATTCAACGGACACCTGCCCATGAACTGTTTTCAAGGGGGCCACGTGAGTGAGTGAAAGAGGAGCAGAATCACGGACTTTGTTGCAGCCAAATCAAACTTTTCTCCCATCACACCAAGGCTGATTAGGTCTGGTAGTATGTCTGTGGCTTCAGTCCCAACATGCCACAGAGGAACTGTGGGATCCTGTCAAGAATCTCTGTAAACGCATGGTCAACAGCCCTCACAAGATTAATTGCAATCCCAAGATGAGGTGATTCACAGTGTTCCTTAAGACAATCAAATATATAGAGTTGAGTCTATCACAATCACATTGTGGATTCCCACGTCATACATAAATAAGGCCTACATCTTAAAGACCCTACTTGTTGGGTCCACTGAAATTTGTACTTCAAGACCCTTGGTCCTCTGGTTACCACATTCTTCACTTTCAGAGACTCAGTTGTCAGCTTAGCAAAAGCACCAGAAAAACATTTTCCCATGGGTTGTTTTCATAGAGGCTGAATGAATGAAGTAAAGAGAAGCAAAATCCTGGAGTTTGTTGCAGCTGATTCAAAATTTTCATCTACCAAACTAAGGCTGATTAAGTCTGCTGCTATAGGAGCTGTCACAAAATGTATAATAATTTCAAACAGTGAAAACTGTCACTAAATTAAGGGAGGTAAAACCTCACAGAGGGAATAAATAACAGCAGAACTCAGTACAAATTTGAATGTAACATTAGATCAATCGATGAACATTATTTTTTCACATTAACCAATGCATTTGCTTGATTTGTTTTAAGTCGTATGAAGACTATTGAGCTGTTACTTGCATCTGTAGTACCACTTGCAGGGTTTTCAGACAGTTTTGAAGTACACGGCTAAGTTGTCAAAGTAAGCGGCCAGTCCAGGGATATTTTGTTTTAAAAAAGAAATACCAAGCAGAGTAGCGGGCTGATACTCACCAAGTAGATGGCGATGTTCGCCGGCAGCTGATAAATAAATATTCATCAAGCACATGAACATGGTCTTTTGCAATTAATTCAGTTTCAGTAAGCAATGAATAAGAAGATAGAGAAGCAGAGCTAAAGAAATAAACAGTTCTCAATGGTAATGCCAATTGTCGATTCACAGAAAGGAAGCTTGTATGAAAAGAAATTCAGGTTGACAATAATAGCTGCAATAGGATTCCCATGATCATTACTGAAAAAACTTTTGACAGACAGGATCTTCTTCATAAAACTGCTTGGGTTATTAAGATCTCTTGCCTAATTCCAGCTTGCCAGAATGAAGTTTCAAATTTGCATGTTTCACATCTGTTACTATGCAATGAGTTGTCTTTACTGGTCAAGAAGTTTGCTGCCAATCCTTTATAATATTCCTTTCGGCGATTACAAAAATAGTTAATGTGTCATTGAGGTGTGGTAAAGTACCTGATTGCCTGAAGCTTGCTTTCACACTACCTTGTCTTAAAAAACACTCTTTAGAGACCAATGAGATTAGCAGCTTTTGCCCTATTTCCAACCTTAAATTTGCTGCCAAGGCAATTGAGAAAGTTGTAGTTCTGTAAGAGGTCAGTGCATTAGTTGGGGAAGTCCCTAAGTTCATATCAATGAAAAATGGTCTATCCCTGATTCAGGACCACATCTGCCTCTGGGGTTTACCACATATTAATCACACTCCTCCAGGCCATGATGGCAGCATTTAAAGTAGGTGCACTTGTGCCAGGGTTTGGGCATTTCTTTCACATTTTACGTAGGTGACAATAGTGGAGCACCAGGTGAGAATGGTTCAATTTGACTAAATTTTTACATGCGTAATTTACAAGTGTGGCTATTGTTTTAAGGCTTAAAACAATGGTGACACTTGTAAATTGCACTTGCCAACGTTTTATTACAATATTTCAGTAGTCTTAGGTACTGTGGACCACATCAACTTGTCCATGTTGTAGATGAGAAAAGGGAAACTCCTCGTTTTGTGAGGTAGAGGAACATGAAATCATCATGGAGTATCTTTGACCTCCCTTTGGCCTCTTGCAGTATCTGAGTATCATTTGTGTATTTGCCATAAAGGCATCCTGACATCAACGCAGAAGTAGAGTGTTTTAAGTTGGTGATGCCCTTGGACCGCCAGGATGTCTTTGTGGAACTCAGTTACTGGGCAAGAAAAAGGAAAGGGAAGATTTTCTATGACATGTCCAGGTAGTATCCCATGTTTCATTTTAACATTCAACTTGTACGGACAGTTAAAGAAACATACACCCAATGTGGTCTGCAATTCGCTTTGCAGCCACTCTTTGGTGTCCTTAACTTGGTGTTTCCTTTTGTTGTGGAGGTAGATTGACATACTCATCTGTAAAATGTAATTGGAGCACAAGTTCCAAGGTTAGGGCATTTCGTTTTTCCTGCACATTTGATAGAGGAACAGCAATTTGCTGCAGCAAAGAAAGTAGAGCAGTTGGTGCAAGAGATGACTAGGGCAAACTGCAACATTTCACAGGGCGATTGGCTTTTTTCACATCCACTTCCGAGTGATTGGATGATCATCTAAAAATACTCTAATTCTCGTTTATGTGAGTCATTAAAGAGAACATGTTCTCCCTCTTGTTTTACCTCTTACAGTATCTGAGTAGCATTTGTGTATTCCCCCCAAAAGACATCCTGACATCAAAGTATAGCTGGAGCATTTTGAGTTGGTGATACCCTTGGACCCTCAGGATTTGTCGTTTGTGGGGTCAGTTACTGTACGAGGTAGTATAGAAGAGGAAGTGAGGATTCTCTTTCATACTTTCAAGGAGAACCCTGTGGGTCATTCCAACTTTCACATGCAACTCGATACACAGATAGATGATGTAAAAGTCAGTGTAGTTTGTCACACCGCGGTGAATTGTTGCATCCTGCTGCCCTGTAGTGTCTTTCACCTGTACTTCCTTTCTGTCACTGAGCAGATGGAATGCCGCCTTTGTTAAATGTGTTAGCACTAATTTCAGGGTTATGGGATTTGTCTTTATGTACATTTTACAGCAGACGAATGTCAATTTGACTGTGTGACCAAAGTGAAGCACTTGATAAGAGAGACAAATGGAGACAAAGCACATTGGCTTTTTCCTCATCCAGCCCTGAATTATTGGATTACCCATGGGATTCACCTCATTTTTGTTAACCTAAGGGTGGTGGAAATTGAAATTATCGTAGACAAGTTTCTCTGTCCCTTTACCTCATTCATTAACTAATCAGCATTTATTTGTCCCCTAAGAGAGCATCTTGAGTTGAATTATGAGTTGGTGATGCCCTTGGACTCCAGGATGCTCTTTGGCGGGACTTAGTTACTGTGTGAGGTCGAAGAGGAATAGAGGATTCTCTACAATAATTTCCTCTGGTCACTGCAACATTTTTGTATAGTTAATGCAGTGTGTGTTTGTATCTTGTCTGCAATGGTCTCTTTCACCAAGTGCTTCTCATTTTCTATGGAGGTAGTTTGACACCTTCCCTCTGTAAAATATGTGTTTATGAATGCCCACAGCCTGGTATGAGAGCTGCTGCTACTGTGATTAAGGCACCTGAGGAGTTTGTGATAATTGCTGTGTGGGGTATCCACAAGTCACAAGTAGCCCTTATTCTGAGTTAAACCATCCTAATTTTCCAAACAGCTCCACACCAATCTGTCTCAGGACAATGCTAATATTTGGTTGAGCCAAAGATCTGATTGGATCTTAGAATTGTCCAAGAAATCAGGTAGTTTATCTGCTTCTCACATTGATGCTCAAAGCCTTTTAAGAAAAGTTTAGGGATGAAATGATAGATCTCTATCATAAGTACAACATAAACATCTTCGTGACAGCTTTTATTACTTTCTGCGTTGATGTTAAGTTCAACCACAAGGGCCTGATACCCTCGTCACTTTTCTTCTGGAGCTGTTTTGAAAAAGTAGCTCATAAGTTAGTAGTCTGAGCGTATGTGGCTTTGTGTGTTTGGCTGTGTGTTACAGGGACCATTTAGGTTTGAAGGTACTATGAGTTGATGCTAGGAACCAATGAGGGTTTGGCGTCTTAAAGATGACATTGCTAAAGGTCAAACAAGGGCACTTTGAGACTGCCATCTTGATTCTTCCAATTTTTTCGTCTTTGATTACCGCTAAAGGTGTTAAGAAGCATAATAGCATTGAAATATCTGTATGATTCAAAAGCTGAGTACGGTGATACAGCTATTTAAGGATCTATATTTTAGTGTGGGTGCTGCTTCAAGACATTTCTGACCTAATTTGGCTACAGCGAACGGTATAACGCATGCATTTCATGATTTATGAGTTCTGTTTCACCTGCTTTAATGTTCAGTTAAAAGATCATAAAATTTTTCAAAGTTCTTCCAGTGAAACAATAATTGATATTTAGATATGGACTTAAATTCGCATGAGTTACTTTTATAATCCTGTTTACAGGATTACTGTGTGACAACTCGAATTCCCCAGCGTACGAAGCCCAGAAGGGGCAAAGTCCAACACTTTCACATGCAAAGTATGTGACTGTATATCTCATGCAGACCGGCTTTTCACAGTAATAATAGTAACCTGAATGTATGACAACCTCTTTGGTTTTCTAACTAGTGCCTTAAGTGAAGGCTCTTTTCTTTTAAGAATCAATGGCTTATAACACTTTTAGAATCAAGTCGTCAGAGTTAAAGACTGTTTCATTCAGTAAAATTTGAGACAAGGATCTGACCGAGTATCAGGTTTGATTATAAGCTTCTAAAACTTTAAAAAGCCTTTAGACATTTTCTCACCGCAAATAGATAGAAAACGTTCCGAAGAATATTTAGTCATAATTCTGGCTGTAAAAGAAAGCTTTGAGCGATTTTCTTGCCTCGAGTTCATCTTTGAAAAAAGCCTACTTAAAACATAAACAAGGATTTTCAGAGACACTTAAATACTTGTCTTCGTGAATGAAAATTGTTGTCTCTGTATATGTTTCACCAAATTATTTTCCTTTTATTTATTGTTAGTAGTCTCTTTTGCAATTATAATCGCTCTGCCGTTTGTTTTCAGTCGCTCATGAACATCGCTTGGAAGAGTAGTCAAAATGCCGCGCGTTATAAAACCATTATATAATAAATAAACATAAATTCTTTATTATGTTGAAGTGCATAACTCTATTAATCTTAATTTAAACAGTCGACTTTGGCGCTTGTCAAAAGTGAGAACCGGCTAGCCGTAAAGGTGATTTTGGAAATTTTTTAGCGGTTTAGCTAAAAGCCCACGCGTGCTTCGATCGTCGTGAATATTGAATGAGTGCAATTTGTATTGCAAAATTGTGAAATACTGCATTCTGTCCGAGGTCTGTATGATACCTCATGGTACTGTTTCACCTCAGATGTTATGTATACAAAGTATGAAAGGCTGGTTTACACGTCCCCAGACTTGTAAGATTTTGTAAAGTATTAAAACTTGTCGAACGCACAAAATTCGGCCTGGTTTGTTTTCCAGGCCTAATCTACTGTGATCAGGAGTTACTATGGCTCTTAAATGTGATCGAAGATGATTGCACGCTATTTTTTGGGTGTACATATCAGGCTATCAAGTCCATGTAACATTAAGTTCACTCTTAGATGGATTGTTTGCAAATTATTTTTCCCTAAAATCACTTAGCCTTTCCCTCAAAAGTCACATGAATGTGCTCTAAAGTTAACTGATTTGTGAAATACAAGTTTATTGTTTGATTTCAATTATAAATTCGAGTTAATGGGAGCTTCGCTTCGCTTCCCTGGCTAAATCTATGTATTATTCATGATATTGGTGTAATTACTTTGTAAAGCCATACGTCCCACGCTCGTGACATGCTGCTTACTTCATCTTCACATTCACCAGCTTTCATTTTTTCACCATTAAGTATGATCTTTACATTGCTTATCCTAGCAGTATGCAGGACGCGTGTCAAATATGAACCTAGCATATGGCCTCGCTCTCCATGAGTTCTCCATAGCTCAGTGGATAAAGCCCTCGCCCGGTGTTGGGGAGGTCACAGAGGAGCCTCATAGCTAAATAAATCTACCCATGCGAGAAAATTTGGTAATCATGTGACCATACACCAAATGATTGAGTGACTGTCTGTGTGCACCACAGGAAAACCAATGTTTACTTCCACACTTTCTAACTACTTTGGGAGCCCAGGAGAAAACTGATTGTATCAATGTTTGTAAAGAATTTTATTGGCTGAATCCTTCTGTGTAACAAGGCTTGATGTTCTAAAGGCGGTAAAGCTCAAAAACTAGTCGGTTCTCTCAATAAACACTATCCGTACTCAAGACTACAATCAAAGTTCTGCTATGTAACACTACGCCCGGTCACGTAGATCAGATAACATCTAAATTCTAAATTAGTCAAAACAACAAATCTCTGTGCGGTTTCAAGTGTTCATTTTCCTAGGCTATTTCCGCTATTTCTATTGTTCTATTAGTTTCAGTTCAGTGTTCATTGTTCATAGGCTCGATTTCTTGACACTCCCCCCTTGACCAACTGCTCACTGTTGGTCAAGAAGTCTCCTGATCTTGTCTGCAGTAGCTGCTGCTGCTCGTCTCGGTGGTCTCACAAGTTCAGCTGGATGGTCAGGCTGCTGGACAATTCCAGCTTCCTCGGTTCCGGCGTGTTCGTTTTGAGGCAGGTTTCCGGTGTTCACTTCCAGTGGGACAAGTTTCTGCACTGCTCTCCGCATCGTTGAGGGCTTTCCCTTCTTGCTGATGGCTCGCAACACAGCACCTCGTTTGTGTCCATCTTTGCTCTCGATCAGCTCGGTGATTTCTCCTAATCTCCACTTGCACCTCGCTAGACTGTCGTCGTGGATCAGAACGACGTCTCCAACCTTGACTTCTTTGTTCTGATTTCCTCTGGTTCCGCAATAATGAAATTCTCTCAGTCCAACAAGGTACTCGTTAGACCATCGTTTCCAGAAGTGTTCTAGTAGTCTGCTGAGGTAACGCTCTCCTTTCAAGGCTGGAGGCGGTTTCTTCATTATCGCTTAGCTCGGCGGGGTTTGGTAGTGTGGCAAGTCGTCTTCCAATGACCAGGTGCGATGGTGTAAGGGGTTCTTGATCTGTGATGTCTGAGTAGACATATGTGAGGGGACGTGAGTTTAGTACTCCCTCCACTTCTGTTAAGACTGTAAGTAGCTCTTCAAAGGACAGCTGCGCCTTTCCGAGAACTTTCGAAGGCTTCTTTTTACTAGTTGTACCATACGCTCATAGTAGCCTCCCCACCATGGCGCTTTTTCTAGAATAAACTTCCAAGTGATCCCTTGGTTGGCGGCAAAATCTTGCGTTCTCTTGTTCTGAAGTAGTTGTCCTAGCTCCTTGTTGGCTCGCTTGAAGGTCTTGGCGTTGTCGCTTGTTATGGAGGCTGGTCTCCCACGCCTGGCTATGAACCTCCGCAAGCATCTGACCAACGCTTCCGTTGAGAGGTCTGGTGTCAGTTCTAGGTGTAAGGCTCTCGAGGTTGCACAGGTGAATAGGCAGATGTACGCTTTCTTCATCTGTTTAGTAATGCCGCTGGTGCTTTTCACGCACACAGGGCGGGCGAAATCCACTCCCACATGGGTGAAGGCCGGGCTTCGGAGACTCTTGATTCAGGTAGATCAGCGGTCGGTGGTGGTCTGTACGGCACTCCCTCTTTTTCTTACAAATAACGCATTGATGCAGGATCCTCTTTACGTACTGTCTCCCCTTTGGAATCCAGAAGTTTGTCCTTACTTCGACTAAAGTTTCCTTCACTCCTCCGTGATTGGTCTTCCGGTGGCAGGCTTCCACAATCAGTCTTGTCACGTGATGCCGCCTCGGTAATAGTGAGGGTAACGGGTTTCGACACTCAACGGGCGTTTCAAGTCTGCCTTTGCACTTCAGAATGGTATCTTCATGTCTGAACAGCCCAAGCTGCTGTTTAAGGTTCTCGAAGTTCCTCTCTCTTTCAAAGGGCTTTTGAACTTCACGGATCCAAAGTACTTTCGCTTCACTGATTTCTTCAGCTGTAAGGGTGGTCTGTTTACTTTGTGCTTCTCTTCTCTCGGTCTTTGCTGACTTCAGATTTCTGATGAACTTCAGGCTGAGAGCTGTTACTCTGAATAGTTTAGTGGCATCGCTGAAACGTTCGCAGTCGATGATTTCAGCCAGCTTTACAGGATTGCTAGGCTCTGTGGTCAGGTTAACCATGGTATTCACATTCGAAGGTTTTTGTTCCTTTGCTTTAAATTCCGTCCTGCATTCTTCTGTCAGATCTTCTTCTTTTGAGACTTCAGAGGCGGGTAGTTCTTGGGGGGCCCTTTAACCAGGCGGGGCCCTCCCACCACAGGCGGTTATCCACGAGCTCAGATGCGAGACACCCTCTGGAGCCAACGTCAGCAGGATTTTCAACTCCAGGACAATGACGCCAGCTCTTCGCATCGGTCAACTTGTGGATCTCGTCTATGCGGTTCTGCACAAACTGCTTGTATTCTTTGTTGGACTGTATCCAGTAGAACACTGTAATACTGTCGGTCCAACAAAAAAGACTTCTTTGGTGTTCAATACCTGGGCTAAGGCTTCTTGTACGGTAGAGATCAAACGGGCCAGGATTAGTGCGGCAAGCAGCTCGAGTCTGGGAATACTCAT